AATTCGCTGCTCCTGACCTGTCCTCACCTTCTTTGCGCCGAAGTTTCCCCAGTTTCCCAAGGAGAGTTGCCGCAAAACTTTGTCCTTTTCCAGCCGGTGTCTCGCACCTTGAGCGTGTTTCAACTCTTTCACCTGCACTTTGCCTCCTTCCTGCTGGGTTGCTCAAATATTCAAATTTGAAGTTTATTGTTTACCCTCGAATGTGTGCCGCCACGCCCACATGGCCCTACGCCTCCTCTTCGGGGGCCATTGGTGCCGCTTTGATTGTTTTGTGGCCCGGAGACCGTCGATAAGTTGGCCTGCAGAAAGTTCACGAAACTTTTCAGTTTTTCCCCTTTTGTTTCGCCTTTTTCTCTATCAAGCACTGTAAGAACTTTGATTGGCGAACAAAATGGCACAAGTGATTGGACATGTGCTTCATTTATTATACCGTATGCCTGACCTAGTGCGCCCTTGTTTAGTTTAAAAGTTATCAGCAGTCTACAATTAACTCAGGGGATACACACAAGGAAGGTTCTAAGAGCTTTAACAATTAGTTTGTAGAGATGTTTCCCATCTTGAAAGGATGTTATCTTGCCTATAGCTAGTGGACTTGCAATTATTGCTCAATGGCAAGCACACGACAACCCCATCATCAGCAACAATAGTTCATGTCAGTTTTTCTTCCATACCAAAAGGTCACGCGTTTCCCATTTCCTTTTCCCGAGTGTTCTTGACCGATTTTTGATAAATTGCTTTTGCCTTTGAGCAGCGAAACGGAATAGACGGGGGGGTCGTGGGCGTCTCAAGAACCCATCCCATTGGTAGCCCCAACGTTTACGGCTCCCACTTGAACGAGCTATTAAATATAATTGCGAGCAATTTGTACGATCTACTTAGGATATCATTTTTAATGCGACAAACCCCTCCTCATTGCATTGCTAATTGCTCGGCGGCGGAGGTAAACATGAAAGGAGCAATAAGCACGAAACAATGAACTTTTTGCAATTCAAATTACCATTTTAAGTGAATCAAATAGGGGCGAAAAGGAGTGCGGCGACAAAAAGTGCTGACTGGTGTAGACCGGAGCGGGTAAATTGTTTTTGATGCCACCGCTGGCGCTGCAGACGGTCAACAGAGCTCATCGCAGGCAGGGAAAACATTGGACCGGGAATACATACCTACCTACGATTCCATCCAACCAGATTTGCATAACACGTTCCACATTGCGGTCTGGTCAACAAAAAAAAAAAAAACTAAAAACCGAGTCCGAGATTCCTGCCAACCAACGGCCACTGTGCAGCTGCGGCTAGTTTCATATATTTCAACGTCCACCTTTCCCTAAATCCCCATCTGCCGCCGCTGTCTGCGGTGACACATAAAATTCTGGCGAGAGCAGAAGGCTTAAATGTTCTGACCTCGACCTGGGGTTACCCTACACGGAAGGAAGGAAGATCATGTAACACTTTGTTGACTCTGAGGAACAATATTGATTGGAATTTGTATACCGATCACGATTCATCTGTCAGACTTTGGGTTTTTTATTAATTTGCATTTAATTTAATTTATTTTTAGTACAAGTTTACTTTAACTGAAGGGTTTTAGCTTTTTAAAATATATTTTATCTTAAGATAATATAGTTTCTTTTCGCTTTTTACACTTGATCTTTTCCTGCATGCACTTTTATATTTGCTATTCACAAAAAACTCTAGAAAAGTGGTGGAAAAATGATTTACATTTCACTTACTTGCGATGTATTAAGGCAACGCGCTGCTTCCTTTGCCAACCTGGTCAAAGGACTCGAGGCTGTCCAGGACCGAAAGCTAAGGAAGCAGGAACCGGGAACAAGGAGTCGGCGAGAGCGGCAAACAAAGGCAACAACAGCAAGGCAAACAAAAGTGGCTAAAAAGCAAAAGCTGCAAAAAGGCCAAAGGCGAGGCACGAACTCTCTAACGAACACAGGCTCACACACACACATGCACACACGAACACTAAGGCCGCGCGCACACTACGAGCTGAAAGCGGAGCTGACGGCTGAGAGCTTATCCGCGGAAAGCTTATCAGCGATCGGAGCTTTTTGCAGCCGCGCACACTGCGAGCTGAAGCTGATGTTGATTTGTAATTGTTTTTCAAGCAATACGTTTAAAAAAAAACATATTTTAATTCTTTAATATTTTTAAAATATCGTTGTTAATGCGATGACATATTTATTTAGATCATCATGACATTTAAATTTTCGAAATCGGACCACCCAGTTCTCCAGAATATGGTTGACAAAGTACGTTTTTTTAGTGTACTTTGGCACCCTGTATCTCGGAAAGTTGACAATATTTTTATTTTAATAAATATTAAAAAAATTCTTCATACTTTTCTATATAACTGGACAGAAATTTAAATTTCTGTTACTTAAGCGCTAATTAGGGCAATTTTTTAAAGAATAGTCTAAAAAATCAGCTCGCGTCAGCTGCTAACAAAATCAAACATGTTTGGTTGATCAAACAGAGCGGAGCGGAGCTGACCTTATCAGCTTTCAGCTCCGCTCTCAGTGTGCGCGCTCTCATACAAGTAGTGTGTTTGTTTCAGAGAGCTGATAAGCCGTCAGCCGTCAGCTCCGCTTTCAGCTCGTAGTGTGCGCGCGGCCTTATAGAGATACATACATATATGCATGAAATTTCACACCCAAAGAGGGATGACGGTGAAGGGGTGCGGAAAAGGGGGCGGAATGATGGGTGACTCGGTGGTTTTGGACTGTTTTTGGGGTTCTAGGGGTGCGCACAAGGCAGCCAGAGGAGCCGAAATGCAAATACACAAACAATGGCGGTGCGGGGGTTACTAAGCCAAGCTAAGAAGGTTTTGGTAAACAAATTTTACTGCCAACTCACACACAAAGCGCCCCCATACACAAACTGGCAAATACACTCTGCAAATAGTCTATATGAACTACAGAATGTAGTTGCAAGTAATTAAGTTTTAATGACTCTGCTTAAGTCTAGGTTCTTGGAGAAAAAATATCGTTAAAAAGATATTTTTAGATGGAAAAGTAGTGATGAAATGATAGAACTTTTTATTTATAACAGCAAAAAGCAAGTTCGAAGTAAAGAAAGTTCTTTGTGTTCGTTGAAATTTGTTAAATTTTTGAAAGTTTGTCGGATAAAATCTACAGAACAAATCCACAGAACAATTGATAATAGTTTTAATAAATTTATATTTTATAAATACTGAATTGCTTTCCCCGAATTTTATAATTATAATATTTATCAAACTAAAACGTTTAATTCCTTGTGCCTTTGAGTTATTAAAACTTTAAGTAATTTTCCCATAAATAAATTCCACGAAAATAGAGTCCAAAGATACCTTTTTTCACTAAACCATACCCAAATATTTTTCACACATCCTTTCTTTTTTTTTGTCAAGTGCACATTTACAGTTGCTGTCGTTGGCCCAGGACATTCATAGTTAAAATTTAGAGAGACAGCGCCAAGAGATTTGGCAAAAAGCAACAATATTCCTTGCCGCTGATGTTGCTCCTAACCCGCATCCCTTGTTGCCGTCCTGTTGCGTTAATCAAGGTTCACACAATCGCCAACAACAACAACAACAACAACTAAACAGTAACAATAACCACAAGAACAACAAATTCGAGGCGTGCACGTGCCAAAATTGCCAGAGAATATTTTGCATTTGGTTTTTTTATTATTTGCATTAGCGACATTTCCTAGCCGAGTTTTTGTTTCGGGCCATTTGTTGCTGTTGGCCAGCTGGGTGTTGATTAAAAAATTGTCAGGTTCTGAAAATTTATGGCCTCCTTATCCTTTTTTTTACAGTCCTCCTCCATGTACAGTGTCAGTAAGGGCTATAAGGCAAGGCCATTGGAGACCATAAAGAACAATATCAAACCTATAGATTTTTCAACTCTTTAAGTTAACTTACAGTTAAATTAAATTTTTTTTAAATATAAACTCACTTAAAAGTATGGCTATGTAAAAAACCTTCATTCACTGTTCCCTGGAGAAAACCTTTTGGGTTGTTACTATCAAAATCGATTGGATTCTGGTTGCCACTGTTACATTTTTGGGGCAAGAGCCGAAGTGTGGCCATATTTTCCGGCCGGTTTTTAGGTTTCTTGAATGCCCATTTGGGCTAATAACAAATAACTGAATGGCCCATTATACGAAATGGGTCTGAGCCATGGCCGGAAAGTGTTGAGAGCCAATGGCAATGGCCCTGACAGTGGCAGCTGCCAAATAGCGGCCGTAGATTATGTATGTTCGAGGCTCCCTCCAAATCGCATTACCGGAAATTACCCCCATGCATTGTGTAATAAATTTATATGAGCTAATTGCCAGCAAAAGTTCATTAATATGGGGGTGCCATGAGCATAATTAATTGAAGCCATTAAATTTTGTTAGTTCTTGATTCTGTAAATATTGTGCAATATTTAAAGCCCAAAGTGATCATAAAAGTGAAGAGGTAGTTAGGCTTGATGACAGATTTATAACGTTGAAATTAAAAAGTATCCCAAATTAAACGATTTTTAGATAATATAAAGTAGTTAGGTTGTTTAAGAGTACATTTATTAGAACTAAATTAAGCTTTAAATTTATTTACTTAAGTAAAATCCCATTCATAAATGAGTTCATAAGAAGGCTTTTCCATATACCTTTATTAAAATTCTTTCTTTATTCAATTTATAACATTTTTGTTTGAGCAAAGCTTGGTTTTTATTTGAAACTATTTCAAAATGCCATTTTCATTTCATTTTTCTGGCAAATAAACCAACTCCGGCATACACTAAGTGAATAACCGTCTAACGATTGACCACAAATTTAATATTTGCAACCACTATGATATTCATTGAACGGATATGCAAAGCCAGCAGCATACGCTTCTATATACATATATATTTAGACAAATAAGTGGCAGGTTCAATGGGCTGTTATCGACAGCCCGTGGAATTATGTTTGTATATGCGACCGACCGCTAATCTAATTTCATATTTGTTCGCTTCGCTATATTTGCAGATTTCATGACCCTAATATCAGCAATGTGAAAGCATCAACCAAACACCAAATTGGAAATCTAAAAAAGCAACAAACTATGGAAGTCTGCAGCATAAATCGGAAGCGGCGAAACAATTTGTATATAGTATATAGTATAATCAAATCCGCACATTGCCAGAATCGATTAACTACACACACCAGCTAGGTAAAGTGGCCAACTCCCAGCCGCGATGACAGCCCCGAACACTAAAAATGCATAAATAAATAAATGGAATGGCACGCAACGCAAATTCTAAAAATATCACAAATTGTTGTATCAATAAATTATTAATAACAATTTCTGCGGACAAAGAAACGAGAACGGCAAGCAAAACTATAGCAAAAAGTTGACAACATCAAATAAAGTTGAATATCAACGGGGGTGAAAAAACCCCACGAAATTCCAAACAGAAAAAGCAGGAGGGGAATTTATCCAACACACAAATATTGCAAAACATTTTTCCAGTTTAGTATGCATATGTCGAGGCCACGAGGGCAATAATGATAGTACCCCTCCCCGGTAGTTTCCACATATCCACCCAAAAACCACACCCACACTGACCCCCACTCCCACTTCCACACCCAAAACCACCTCCCCCACCCTAGATGCCGCTGTAAATATTCGAGAGACTATTTTTATTGTCCTTTTCAACTTTATGTAGCATAAATTTACAATTTCTAGCCTGTAAATCCTTTATATACGAAATAGTTAAATAGGTAAGGCCACGGCTATGGGGGAGGCTGTGTCGATGGGCGTGGCAGATGGCTTCTCCTATAGGAATACGCTCTAAGTAGATACACTAATTTTCCTGGGGACGTTTTCCAAATTGTATAGGAAATGAAAATTGCAGAATTGCATCGATTCTCGAGATTAGTTGTGCATATAAAGCGGTTACATATACCTATTTATAGATACTACAAATTCTATGCCTATGATTATATATATTTACAATTGACGACCAAGCAAAAGTAAAACTTTAACTTTAGTAACAAGTCAACACGCATACTCACACGGATTACACGAAAAAACTGAACTAAAGTAGAGATTGAAAATAAGACATTGGTGAGATGCGGTGAGGGGAATCCCCGCTGGGCTCTAGAGTTTTCACCCACTCACATCTCAGAGCATAGCAAATATGAAATGTAAAACAAAAGCTTGTTAGTGATACTAATTTTAAACAAAAACATGAAAACCAAAACACAAAACCAAAGCTTAAAAACGTTTGATAATTCTTAGTAAATCTCGAAATGTTTACATTGTTATTCAATTTCTGTTAGTTAATTCTTTGTTACTAAGCGAACTTCAATTTCATCTGTATATAGATTTCTAGAACACACATCAGTGCTCGAAAGCTAAAGCTTCTTAAAATTACTGAAAACTGAAAAGCAAATATATCAACTAAGATGTAAACACATATAGTGCGTTTCAAAACTACAAGTACATGAGGGTTTATTCAATGGGTTCTTTAACAAATAATTTAGTATTAGTTTCACTTTTTCAGAGATTAGTTTGCCCCATTTTGGCTACTTTTATCTTTTAAACTTTATTAAATTTCTTTTTTTTTACAGAGTTTAATTGTTTTTTTTTTAAGTTTTTAGAATACATTTATCTAAAATTTAAACTTGTATTTTTCTATTTGTAGTATTGAAACACACTATCCATACGTATACCGACTAACACAAAGACATTGACTCACCTACACTCAAGCACTTTCGCCTAAGAAAACTATATATTTTGCAGATGAAGGGAGGACAAGTTCCACGCAACTCAAACAACAAAAATATGCAAATACACTATCTAACTATCCATTTATCTAGGGGCCGGCAAATATTACGTGATCCCATGTAACCAAGGGTTTACGTAATATATGTCTAACCCCATCTATCATACACACACACTTACGTTTATAAGTACACGCACATCAATGCAAGATGCATAATATCTAAATGAAACAATTTACCATTTAGCATTAACGATTAATGGGAAAACCAACTGTCTGAGCAAAAACCAACTAACTAAAGCAAACGACTAAGCAAATGAAACCAATGAAACAACACTTAATGTAACGATGAACGAGAATCGAATCGAATCGAAACGAAAGGCAACGCAGTTGAAAATTCAAATGAATATGCAAATTTGGCTAACACGAACACACACACACCACACACACACACATACATAGGCGACATTAGAAACAAGAGTTTGTAAATTGACGAAACGTTAAATAAACAAAGGCGAAAAATATAACAAAAGTATTAATACACGTACAAAGATCCATTCGAGTGTGCAATTTCATTGGTTTTCTGGACAGGAGTCGGGGACAGCTCCGAATGCTGGTGGTGCTGCGGGGTGGGTGGGGCTGCTCAATCAATTGATAAACCGGAAATGGAAACAACAAATGGAAACTGCGAGTGCGGAGGCGTAAAGTGCATCGAGTGCAATTTCCATAGCCTCCATAGGGGCCAGGGCAACTACGATGCTGGCTTCTGTGTGCTTGAATGCTGCAGACTAAATTACTCGAAAAATATATTTAGTTGTTGGCATGTTTTATGGATGCGTTGTAATTGAATCGGAGTGCCCAACGGGGTAAGGGAGCCCAGTGGCATGAAATGGACCGAACAGAAGTGAATAGTCACCATTGACTGTCGGCATCGGCATTTCACAGATCCAGGGGATGGCATGATTAGTCCTCAGTGTCTGGGTATGGAATTTCACAAGGTAACATAGATTGGTGGAGCGGGGTATCAAAGGAATGTGCTTATTTTCTAGCAGATAAAATATTGTACACGTCATCAGACTCTGAATATTTTATTACGAACTCTAATAAATAAAGGTTGGTATTTCTGTTTAAGAGCATTATGCTTAGTTATCCAATTAATGGGAAAACAATTATAATGGGTAATACTTTAAAATGTATAATAATAAATATAACTAAAATATTCGTCAGTAAATCCACAATTTTATATACATAGATATGTTAATATATTTTATATTAAATTATATGGATGTTAGTTATGGATAATACATTGTTCTAATATATTTTAAAAATTAAGTAATATATAACAATATTTAATTGGCAATAAAAGTTACATTTCCTGAAACAATTAAAACTTAAAATAATTAAATATCATATCCATGAATGATCAAAAACCCCGAGTGTCACACATCTTTCCACATTTCTTTCCTCCTTTTAAACTTAAGCCCCCGCGGAAAGCTGTTAAATTGTAATTAAAATTTGTGGCCAAGCAAAAAATGTACATAATGGAAGGACAAAATGGGGATCCGAAGGAAAGTCTGCCTGGAAGATTAATTGAATTACATTAGTCTGCGTTTCCACATACAAAAATATGCAAACCGAATGCGTAAACCGCAGAGGACACAAAAAGCGGCAAAAGAGAAAAAGAAATGGCTGAAAAAGTGAAATAAAAACACAAATTAAAAAATGGAAAATGCGTGTAAATACCGAGCGGAATTTTCCCGACCCTCGCACGTTCCTTTATCGCGACTTGTGCAAATTTGCACCTTACCTTTAAAGCGGCGACAGGTGGGGGAACTAGGTCCCCCTATCTAATGCCATCTCACTCCAGCGCTCATTTCGTATGCCGCGCAACAAGCATTTAAGTAAATTGAAAATATGCCGGTGACTTTTTTCGAGAGGGGCGCAGAAAATAGGAGGCGATGCCGAGCGGAGGGGACATTTAAATTCAATTGTCAGCAGCATCTTCCCGGACCGGCTCGGGAAATCTGGGCTCAGGAAATCAGGCACCAGCCCGCATTTATACAGTGGTCTCTGGTCAAGCGTTTACTTTAGCTCTTTAGAATCTTCCAGAAACTATTAAAAAATCTAAAAAAAATATCTACATTTTCATAAATTTATAAGCCAGCTTAAGATGTTTTTAAATAATCATAAATATACACATAAGCTAGTTATCGTTACTAAATAAACAAAACACCCAAAAACTGTTATTTTAAGGAAAAGTTTTGTGAAATTTTCGTCATTCAGGAGTCATTACATTTCTTAGTAGATAGAAATCTAAAACTAAATTGAATAAATACAGACGAACTTGGCTAGATCAACTCGGCTGTTGATGCTGATACACTATTCAAATAAGACTACCCTTTGCAAGGATATGATAACTTGAATACTATACAGTTTCATATATATTTCACTATATAACTTTCTAAAAACTCAATAGGCTGTGATTTAACATAAAATTTTGATAAAATTATACCCATCATATGATATCATTTCTAGGAATTTCTATAATTCGCAAAATAATTCCCAAAATAACGTTGACTTTAAGCAAACATCACTGCCCTTTACAGACATATGTGTACATGCCACGACCAGCGGGTGGTGTCCACGCAACGAGAATTTATAGTTATTACTACAGTTCCCAGTTCAGTTCGCGTTCAACAATTGTGCCGGGCAGACGACGTCACCGTTCGTTTTCATTCATTCCATTCATCAATCCGGCAGGAAGGGAAAGTGCAGCGAAAGAAAGTGAGCAAGTGGAGAAGAGTTCCGTTAAAAAAAAACACACACACACACAAAAATCGCGAGTATGGAGCGTCTGCTGACCATGTTCGAGGAGGCGGATCCCTTCGCCACGTGGTGGCCCACAATAGCTGCCCTGGCGGTGGGCGTTGTGATTACAGTGCGGTGAGTGCGATGAGTCAACGGAAACTGTATTTCCACGCCCCTCCCCCACTCGCACCTCAACATTTCGGGGGATAAAAACTTTTGCCTCGGACACACGTAAATAAATGTCGCAGCATCCCCAGTAAAAACTCTGCCCCTCTGTCGCCTTTCGCGAAAAACTTTTTAAGTGGATTTCATAAAGGGTCGGACGAGCGGAGATGACAGGAGGGCGGCAGAGTTCGCTGCAGGGAAGACCCGGATAATATGTAATATCTAAAGATTATTTTAAGTTCCTTTTTTTTGGCTGTGCGCGAGGTACTTGTAGGGTATGCCAAATTAGTGCAGATCCACTTAATTAGGTAAAAAAATGATTGTGAGAGTATAAAAACTGATTTAATTGAATTCTACTGAATAAGAAACACATTTTATATGAAATTCCAATATTGTACTTAGAGAAACAACTAATTTCCTTATTAAAGAATTCGTTTTAAATCATAAAAAGTAAAATTATAACAAAACATAAAGGTTTTTCCTTTTATAAGCTGTTCTTAAACTTTAAAATTAAGAAAAAATATTGGGATTTTCATAAAAATCTCAACGCTTGTAACATTTTAACAAGTTACTTAAATATTTATTTCTTTATTGATATACATATATGTATTTAAATATATATATTAAACGGGTTCATTAAAGGTCTAAGATCAAAAATGATTATTTTTAATTAGTTTCATAGCTTTTTGAAAACAATTTAACTTAATTTTATAGACACAAAAACCCAAGAGACACCTAAAAGGTATCCCTTAGTCCGGAGAACTATACTATAGCTTTCTTACTTGAACCGTTTTTGTTATTCCTGTGCTTGAAAGCATCGCGGTTTTTGTGACCCCGCGCTATCTCGCACTTCGCAGTTGCAGGTGTTAGTATAAGCCGGCAAAAGGAATAAGCGGAAGCGGAAATGGCAGCGACTGCAATATGGCACTAAGGACAACCCTTCGCTCCTTTCTTGCCACCTCAAAAATGTACAAAGTGGATTTGAGCAAGTTTGGCCCAAAGTAAATGAAGTGCCAAATGAATTCCAAAATGAAGGATGCGATGGAGGACCTAGGAGCTAAGTGCCAAATGAAGTGCAGCAACCGGAATGCGGTGAAAAGGAAAGCAGTGTGACTTTAATTCATATTGATTTTAGTAGAATATAGAATTTATAGTTCATTGAAATAAGGCAAACCATTCGAATTTTTACGTTCTTTTGGAGCTTAAATACATTAGAACCCGCTAACCATCAGCGAATTCAAAGCCAATTTAACTAATTAAACTAATTGCAAATGAAATACTATACAGTCATTCAATTGATTGAGTTCAATAGTAAATTTTAACATGGAAATAAATGTTATTATGTTTGACTTTAGTCAATTTTTTTCGTGCTGCAAATCAGCACTAATTAGTCGATGAAATTTTTAACATTTGTGTTGTTCAAAGCAGTACTTTAATTTGATGTTAGCTGCACTACATTTAGCTTGTTGCCTTAGGCTTTAAGTTATATAGTTTAACATGCGTTGTGTGCATAGGCCGCCGAATTGTTGAGGGCGGAGTTAGTCAAGTCCCTAATTGTCTTCGGGCATCATGCAACTGTGCAAGCTGATTGTATTAACGCCTATCAATAAGCCAAACTTAAGCCAGACCTCAACCAACGACACTGGCAAAAAAATCTAATCTTTCTAATATATATTGTACTTGGAAAACCAACTTATAATGTCCTGAGACTCTTGACTTATATCCCTAATATTCTTCAAGTGTACACGCGCGGCTTGGATGCAGGACATCATCATTAACTGACCCCATAAACCACTGGCCACCGGCCACTGGCCACACTGACAAACTCCCCTTTCTTCCCCTCTAATCTCTTGTTTCCTTCGCCCGCATGCCAGGACCTTAATGAGCGGCCAGCGCTGTCCAAACGATAATCAAATCAACGAGCAAATCGTTGTCGTCACCGGCGGCAATGGCGGCATCGGATTCGAGATAGCCCAGGCTCTGGCCGGTCGTGGTGGCCGAATAATCCTTGCCTGCCGCAATCTCAAGGCAGGCGAACGTGCGGCGGGTATAATTAAGCGGGAGCTAGGATGCCGCACCCCCATCATTTCACCCGACGAGGACGACGATCCGGCGGACAGGTATTTCGTGGAGGCCCGCTACCTGGACCTGTGCTCGCTGCGCAGCGTCCATCACTTTGCCAGCCAGCTGATGGCGGAATTCGAGCGGATCGACATTGTCATTCACAATGCCGGCGTGGTGTTCGCCAACACCCATGTGCCCACGGAGGACGGCTTCGAGCGGCACAGCCAGGTGAATTACCTGGCCCCCTTCCTGCTCACCCAGCTGCTGCTGCCGCACTTGAGGCGCTCGGAGCAGGGACGCATCGTGTTCGTCTCGGCACACGCCCACCAGGCGGCCAAAATCGATTTCGACGATCCCCTGAATGTGGGCACCTGGGCGGTGAAGTTCCACGCCCGCGAAGCCTTCGCCCACTCGAAGCTCTGCGTCCTGCTGGCCACCCGCTGGTTGGCCAGGGAGCTAAAAGGTAGGAGGAGAGCCCTACGGGGAATCGGGAACTGCACTCAGAGGAACTGTAAT